GTTAATAAAGTGTGCTACCCGTCAAGTGGTCTCCCGCCGTAATTTACAATACTAGATATGCATGCAAATGTAGCCATCACATTTTCAATCAATTGGTTGGCTAGGTGCCTCAAGTTTGTATAAACGCAACTTGCCTGGACAAACCGCGTTTTTTCGTGCAGTGAGGTAATGGTCTCAGCTCGGTTAACAGTGACTAACACAGAGATCCATAGACTTACATAGAGATCCATAGACTAACACAGAGATGCATAGACTTACACAGAGATGCATAGACTTACACAGAGACCCATAGACTTACACAGAGATCTATAGACTTACATAGAGATCCACAGACTTACACAGAGACCCATAGACTTACACAGAGATCCATCGACTCACACAGAGATCCAAAGACTCACACAGAGATCCATAGACTCACACAGAGATCCATAGGCTTACACAGAGATCCATAGACTTACACAGAGATCCATAGACTTACACAGAGATCCATAGACTTGCACAGAGATCCATAGACTTAGATAGAGATCCATAGACTTACATAGAGATCCATAGACTTACATAGAGATCCACAGACTTACACAGAGATCCATAGACTTACATAGAGATCCACAGACTTACACAGAGACCCATAGACTTACACAGAGATCCATAGACTTGCACAGAGATCCATAGACTTACATAGAGATCCATAGACTTACATAGAGATCCATAGACTTACACAGAGACCCATAGACTTACACAGAGATCCATAGACTTACATAGAGATCCACAGACTTACACAGAGATCCAGACTCACACAGAGACCCATAGTCTTACACAGATCCTTAGACTTACACAGAGATCTATAGACTTACACAGAGATCCACAGACTTACACAGAGATCCATAGACTTACATAGAGATCCATAGACTTACATAGAGATCCATAGACTTACACAGAGACCCATAGACTTACACAGAGATTCATAGACTTACATAGAGATCCACAGACTTACACAGAGATCCACAGACTTACACAGAGATCCACAGACTTACACAGAGATCCATAGACTTACATAGAGATCCACATAGTTACACAGAGATCCATAGACTTACATAGAGATCCATAGACTTACACAGAGATCCATAGACTTACACAGAGATCCATAAACTTACACAGAGATCCATAGACTTACACAGAGATTCATAGACTTACACAAAGATCCATAGACTTACACAGAGATCCATAGACTTACACAGAGATCTATAGACTTGCACACAGATCCATAGACTTACACAGAGATCCATAGACTTGCATAGAGATCCATAGACTTACACAGAGATCCATAGACTTACATAGAGATCCATAGACTTACATAGACGGGGCTGTAGTTAAACTGGTCTTTTCTCTCCACCTGAAGAAGACCGCTTGTGTTGCGATCGAAACGTCGTGGATTTTTTGCTTTTGATGTTTGTTTTCTATCTACGTGACTTTACCGAAAGAACCAAGAATATATCCAGAAACTTACACAGATATCCGTAGACTTACACATAGATACATAGACTTACGCAGACATCCATAGACGCACATAGACTGCTCTGTGAATAAACCGGGTTCTTGAGTGAGTTGATGGCTATCAGGACAGTCACCAGCGACTTACACAGAGATCCATGGACTGACATAGACTGCTCTGTCACTAAACTGGGTTATTTAATCAATTGACTTGATGGTGCAGCTGTGAAACAGTACCGATCTGCGTTTTTCAGATCTTAGCTCCCGAAGAAGTGTATCGTAATCATATTGTATTTGGTCATCATCAAAAAGAAATTACGTGCCTAGTTTGTTGCCCTTCCCCCGCACCTCCATGCAACAAACACGGTTGGCTACGTACGGTGCAAAAGAAGTTCAACATACATGCAAAATTTATTCGAGAAAATGTGACCGACTAACAGCAGCAGTGAGGGAGCGACAGACGACCGTGCGCCGGTGCAATAGGCTAATGGGCTGCAGTGTGGATATCAGGAGCCCACGTATGTGGCTCCCACACAGAGGCAGACTTTGCAGTCGTGAGCATTGATGACTATGCAGCGCTGATAAACTAAAAACTGAAACTATTTTTTTTATTTTACCAGGTAAGGCCCACTGAGCTATACAGCTCTTTTTCAGAAGTGGCCTGGCAATCACAAATGATAGCTCAACGAAGTGGCTTATCACGTGGACATTTATAGCAGCCGAATATTCGAAACGTGTAATGTTGTTTCTAAATGTGGAGGGGAAAACCCGCAGGACCCAGAAACAAATCTACGCGACCACAGAGAAATACAAACTCCAAATATACAGGCGTCAGGGTCGGGATCGAATCCACGACCTCCTGTATACCAGGCGAAGTAGTTAACATCTCGCCACAGTTGTCTGTCTGCATCTCTGCTGCTGTCAGTTTGGTCTAATTTGTTGTGATGGTAGCCTAAAACCAGATGAACCACAATGCAGTTCCTCCGGAACTGCTGATGTGTATTTCTTTGCATATGCACAAAGGTTGTATGTGGTTTTCCTTGAATACATTTTGGGTGAGTGGTTTGGAATCGTATTAGTTGTAGCAGGAAAAGCCATGGCCTGTTTAGATCACTCTGAGTGGCATCAGCAGTGCGTAGCCTGGTAAACACGTGCCGCAGTTGTACAACATTGGTCCAGAAGCAGCATAGGCTGATTGAGACTAAAATTGTATTGTATCTAGATGTGGAGAGACAAACATTGATAATCCGTTATTTATTTATATTCACACCCGCATCAGAACATCAACAGGCTGATGCACACATCTTAACAGTAAACTGAATACAGAAGCCACGAGTGTAATTGTGGCCATGCAATGCTTATATAGTAAACGCATATAGACCCACAGAGATGCATAGAGACTCGTGGAGAACCATAGATACACATTCAAAGCAAGCTACAGTAGTGTGATTGTGGCCATGCAACCAACACTATGGACCATAAATGTAAACCCATACAAGCACATAGAGACTCGTGGATATACATCGAGACACACAGAGACTCGTAGAGCTGCACAGAGACTCAAAGAGTTACCGTATATAGACACCCACATAGATACATAGAGACTCGTGGATATACATCGGGACACACAGAGACTCGTAGAGCTGCACAGAGACTCAAAGAGTTACCGTATATAGATACCCACATAGATACATAGAGACTCGTGGATATACATCGAGACACACAGAGACTCGTAGAGCTGCACAGAGACTCAAAGAGTTACCGTATATAGACACCCACATAGATACATAGAGACTCGTGGATATACATCGAGACACACAGAGACTCAAAGAGTTACCTATATAGACACCCACATAGATACATAGAGACTCGTGGAGACCCATAGATACACATTGACGAGCTTGACGATTGTATGCATGTTGAACTTCTTTCGCACCGTACGTAGCCACCCGTAATAATCGGAGGTGCGGGGAAGGACAACAAGCGAAACAAGTTCCAAAGAAATACGTTTTAAATCGAGACGATGATTTAAATGTGCACAGCTCCAGTGTCTTCCTAATATCGGAAGAGCGTTCCAGACGGCCGCAGAAGCGCATCTGTAAGCGTCGCGCGATGACGCGGTGGCCGCCGTCTTTGTTCCGATGGCCGGCCAAAAGCTGTGGGGGGGTTAAGTCTTCCTCCCGCGAGTCACGGTGGTGTCGTGACACCGCCGTGTTTATTCTCTGTTGTTAAACCACAAACACAAAGTTTAACAAAAGGAGCGTTGTTAAATATTTACTCGGCTTGCACGCGCGCGTCGGTGTGTCCGCGTCTGTGGGGAGTGGCGGCGTTGTTGTTTAGCGCGCTACGCTGCAAACCCAAGAGTTCGATTCCTGCTCACGGCCAATAATATTTGAAGCGGTCCTCGGCTTCCCCTAGGTCGACTCAGCCTTAAATGAGTATCTGGTTCGGTGTGTAAACATCAGTACGTGGGAGACAAAGGCGGCCGGGCGTGGTGCTGGCCACCCACCCCCTCGTGTACCGTGTCGGCCTTCATAGTTGCTCGTTAACAGCACTTTCCCCGCAAGTCTGTTACAGGATATACGGGGATCTTTGCGTATGTGAACACGTGCGTCATGGGGTGTATTTGAGTGACAGACACGCGCGTGCACACATAATACACGCCGACTTTTCAATATACATACAAAGCACCGGACAAAGATCCCCCGTATAGCCTTCAACAGACAGTTGGGGAAAGTGATGTTAGCGAGCGCCTATGAAGGGCGGAACTGCACACGAGGAGGCGGGATGGCCAACGCCACGCCTGGCCGTCTTTGTCTTCCCAGCCATGATGTTTATACACCGAACCAGGCACTCATTATTTAGGCTGAGTCTACCTAGGGGAGGCCCATCACCGGTTTGTATATTTGCCACTAATATTAGTGGTCGTGAGCGGTAATTGAAATCGGTCGTTGGAGTCGTATAACGGGATGCTAACCGCTGCGCCACACACATACACACACATACACACACATACATACACACGCACATACATAAAGATAAAGATAAAGATCCCCCGTATAGCCTTAACAGACTGTAGGGGCAAGTACTGTTAGCGAGCACCTATGAAGGCCGGTACGGCACACGAGGGGGTGGGTGGCCAACACCACGCCCGGCCGCCTTTGTCTCCCCAGTGGCGATGTTTACACACCGAACCAGGAACTCATTAATAGGCTGAGTCGACCTAGGGGAGGCCCGGGACCGGTTCAGATAATCGTCACTTGTGTGGGCCGTGAGCGGGAAATTAGCGCGGATCAACACACAAACACTCCCAATATACATACATTACCTCCCCCCCACCACACAACCTCGCAATATACAATGCAATGCACCAGACGAGGACATACACGCATACATTTACGCACTCGCCACTTACAATGCACGTGCAAATTGCCACTCACACACCTCACCACGCGGCCCTATATAAGCTCACCGGCTCTGCCCCCAATCCCCCTTTGCCCGTTTCGAGGAAGACTCGGAGCTCGCACGGCGTTAATCGCACGCACCGCGCATTGCAACACCACCGCTCGTCGTACAGGTTGGACTCTCTGATAGTCGGACTTGGACTTGTTTTTTCCACCCAGGTATATAACAAAATGTTTTCGTAACTCTGCACCACAACGACCACGGCCGTCATCATCGTCATCATTGCCGCCCGTGTCTGAAGATGTGATGCTGGATTGACTCCGGTGACGGGATGTGGGCACCTATCGGCGAGTCGTTTGCACGTGGCGCGTGGTAGTGAGGATTGAGGTCCCCGGGTGTTGAACGGTGCGATCATTGCACATTGAACTCAAAGAGACTGCGTTAGTCGGCGCTAGTTAGGTGGTTTAGCCACGCACTGACACCCACACACACAAACTAACAAAGACCCTCCTATAGACTTAACAGACTGAGCAAGTTCTGTTAGCGAGCACCAATGAATACACACATACACTAAGACACACGAACACACAAACATCGACACTCACACATTCTCACTCACACTAATACATACATACACAAAAACACACTTAATACATACACATTCACACACGTATACATAAATTCACATCCTAATATATACAGCAATATTAACACATACTCGCACTCACATATGCACATTAATACAAACAAATACGACGTTGCCCCGTGTAGCCTACGCAGATTGTTGCGTAACAAATTCTGTTAACGATCACCTATTAAGGCCGGAACGGTGCACTCACACCCCTAAAACACAATACACGCACACCTATAGCACAACGCACCCCACACACCCTAACACACCACACACACCTAACACACCACACACACCTAACACACCACACACGCAAACCACCCCTATCACACAATCACAACACACACACACATCTAACACACCACACACACCTAACACCACACATACCTAGCACACACACCACAAACCACCCCTATCACACAATCACAACACACAAACCACCCCTACCTAACACACACACCGCACACATGGCGCGTCGCGTCCCCCAAGTCGCGCGTCTTCTCGCCACCGCCTCGACCGTCGCCCTTTTCATCCTCGCCACCACCACCGCCGCCGCACGCGCGCGCCCGAGAGCCCCGAAGCCGCCGGTGCCACTGATGTGCGCCGGACCCACGTGCAGCTGCCACGACCTGGACGTGAAGTGCGAGGGCCAGGGCCTCGACGACCTCTCCCGGCTCGGCGCACCCCCGGAGGGGCCCTTCCGTCTCTTTCTGCAGCGCAACTCGATGCGGCGGCTGCCCGCGCTGGCGTTCGCTCGCCTGCCCGGGCTCAGCCTCCTCAACCTCGCCTCCAACGGCCTCGTGCACATCGCCGAGGGCGCCTTCAGCGGCCTCGCCGAGCTGCGGCGCCTCCACTTGAACCGCAACGCTCTCGAGGAGCTACGCAACGACACCCTGCTGGGCCTCAGCTCCCTCGAGTACCTGCAGGCGGACCACAACCTCCTGCGCACGATCGAGAGCGGCGCGTTCGCGCGCGCGCCGAAGCTCAGCGTGCTGCTGCTCAACGACAACCAGCTGGAGAGTCTGCCCGCGGGACTCCTGCAGGGCTCCGCGGCTCTCACGGCCCTGGACCTCAGGGGAAACCGCCTTAAGGTGAGCGAGGGAGATGGACGATCTCCGTCCGCCTCCCTGCGTTGCGTGGGGTGGACGTTTGAAGAGAGCGTCACAATAAAGCTGCGGCAGCGGCAGGACGACGACGCAAAAGCCAAGGCGTTACACTGAGCAGGACTCACAAGTTGTACGATGTTTCATGGTCGATATTGGGGGAGCCACTGGAGCTCTGCACTTTTATACTCGATTCGATCTCGGAGATCTGCCGAAGCCGTCTGCTGACCCTGTCAGGCAACTTCGAGCCACCAAAATCCGGGCACCCTGAATCAGAGGTGTGGACTCGAGTCATGTGACTTGGACTCGAGTCAGACTAGAGTCATGAATTTCATGACTTCAGACTCGACTTGGACTTGCATAACAATGACTTTGTCCCACCTCTGAGGTGTGGACTCGAGTCATGTGACTTGGACTCGAGTCAGACTCGAGTCATGAATTTGATGACTTCAGACTCGACTTGGACTTGCATAACAATGACTTTGTCCCACCTCTGAGGTGTGGACTCGAGTCATGTGACTTGGACTCGAGTCAGACTCGAGTCATGAATTTGATGACTTCAGACTCGACTTGGACTTGCATAACAATGACTTTGTCCCACCTCTGCCCTGAATGGTACCAAGGGCAAATCCGCGTTCAGTGGGTGACGACGGAGTTTTCAGTCGCCAGGCGACTCGTTTGTGGGACACCTCGCCTCAGTCCTTCAGGCTCGTCTGAAAACCACATCATTTTCTCGTGCGTATCCATCTGTGTAGGACTGTTTCACTCTTAGTTTGAAAGGTAAGGGGTTTTACTGCGATTGTGTTGCAAGCGCTGCGAGGCCTTGCGTGAACGGAGATATAAACAACTGCGTTTTACTTACTTTCACTTGCTAAGTCATCTCGATTGAAAACTAATTTCTTTAGGACTGCTTTTTGTGTTTAGTTTGTTGTCCTTCCCCCCGCACCTCCGATTCGCGCGGTTGACTACGTACGGTGCGAAAGAAGTTCAACATACGGCACTTGCATCACACGGGCAGCATCCTCGGTGGTGGTAGCTGAGCGGAGTAGGCGGGTTGGTCCACCAGAACACAACGTGGTTGTACTGGGTGGGCATCCACCAGCAATCTAAACCAAGGCCGTAGCCATGGAGTCAACATTGGGGGGGACCAAATCTTCTAGGGGGTCTGGGGGTCCCAACCCAGAAAAAAATCTAAATTTGAAAACGAATTTCCTGCCTAAAATATAAAAAAAAATCACTTACACAGGATAATCTCTAACAGTGTATTGTATTCCATTGCTCTTTTTTACCTTTTCTTGTCTCATTGTATGTAATGGCAGATATTAGGGATTAATAAAGTACAACCATAACTACAATCATATAAACATAAATCTATTTTATAGCAATATATTGGGGGGAACATTTTGAGCTTTTTTAATATTGGGGGGGGGGGGATGTGCCCCCCCCCCCCCAATATATATTATAATCACGGCCTTGAACTAAACTATGTTTTATTTGACCAGGTAAGGCACACTCATTCAGAAGCGACTTGGCCACAAATTATAACTCAACGAAGTGGCTTATTATCACGTGGAATTTTATTGCAGCCAAATACTCTAAACGCGTGATTGCTGATTCTAAATGTGGAGGGGAAACCCGAAGGACCCGGAGAAAAGTCCACGCGACCACGGGGAGAGAGAGACACGCAGACTCCAAATATACAGCAGGCGTCAGGGTCGGTATCGAACCCACGACCCCTGTATACCAGGCGAGGTAATTAACATCTCACCATCGCATTCACAGTTTAGTTGAGCCCCCCGATCGTTCCACTTATGGATAAAATATCCCAACACCGTCTTCTTCTTCTCCTTCACGTGGCGTGATGGTGGTTGTCGTTGGGACTCGGTTTGTTGAGAACAGGCTCCCGACTGTCTTCAGGGCAGCAGAGAGACAGACACCAGCGCTGTCACTTCAGTGCCGTGCTCGTGAGGGACGACCGCTGTGTTGCCCACGTCTCGTGGCAGAATCAGAATATGTATTTGTACTGGAGGGATCCGATGAGCTATAAATATTTTTTTCACAGATGTCCAGTAGGGGGCAGGTCAGAACGTTACAACAACAAACAAGACACACACACGATAGGAGTGCAAAATACAGGAAACGTGAGCAAATCACTGAAAAAATATACAAATTAAATGTAACTATTTGTATCTTACCAGGAAAAGCCCACTGAGCTCTTAGCTTCCTTTTTCAGAAGCGACCCGGCCACAAATGATAGCTCAACGAAGTGGTTTGTCACGATATAGCAGCCAAATGCTCTAAACAATCGAGCGGCACGAGGAAGACAATGTATCCTCCACGTAAAAGAGCATCTCTTACTCATCCCATCGGCCACACGCACCGCCTACTGGGACTCCATTCATTTCAGCAGCGTTGATTCATGGCAAGCAAAACTATTGCACCGGTTTCGACACGCAAGTGTCTCATCAGCAGAGTCAGACTCAATGCTCGAATCGATGCCGGCCAACTGGTGATGTTACAGGCAACGACTGGTTTCGACACATAGTGTCTCGTCAGTAGAGTCAAGCTTGACGCTTGAATGATCGCTGGTGAAGCTACCGAATTTACAGGCAAGAACCATCTCTCCTTACCCCAGGAGGTCCCAATTCGACGCAACATTCGACAGCGGTACACAACTCAACGACCACCAACGTTGTTGAGGAGAATCTAAATAACGAGAGACACGCAGACATTGTCTCTTTCGCGTATCCGTCTCTCTACATTAACCCATCAAAGTATGTATTTACACATCCCATCAGCCGAGAGGCGTAAATAACGACATTATCAGCTCAGGGGTGCGGCAATCGGTCAGGTGGGGCCCCCAATATTTGATTTGTCTCTCGTACGGTCGCACCGAGAGGCTTTAAAATATCGCGGCTCCTTTTGCCCTCATCACATCGTCGTTCCACTCACTGTCTCGAACATTTAACGCGGCAGGGGGGGGCTCCGTCTTTGCAAAATGCGGCCACTACTAAACAAAGTAATTGTCATGCAGAAGGACACAAAATAAACAGCGTTTTAAATATGCAGCCGCTGTTCTTTTACACTGTTGCTGAGAAGACAAATCTCACGGTGGTTGTCAAGGGGGGCCTCAACTCTTCACTTTGGCCAACGGGAGGGGGGAGGGGGTTGGGGGGGGCAAGACATCCCGTGCCCCCCACGCTAAGTTATACCGCTGCATCAGCTGCAAGCACTTGGTCTGCTGATCTGTTTCGTTCGTTGTATATTTTCATCATGAAGGTGTTTTTTTTTCATTTGGTTAGATCGCCTAAGTATAAATGTCTCGTTAACACAGGCAATTAGGAAGGTTTGTCACGTAAACAAAACGTGACAATTAGTTGCTAGTTCAGCACACCGGTGTGTTGGAGAGTAAATCCACAACATTTAAAATTTGAGAACCCAGTGGCGTTTTGTCGGCAATTACATCCAGCATCATTCTGCCAGAATTCTGGCAAAGTCGCCCGATAATGTTGGATATAATTACAGGCAAAACATCATACTCACGAGTTAACGACACGTGTATACTTATGCGATCTAACCCAACATAAAAAAACCTTTACTGTGAATAATATTTGTATTCACCACGACGCTGGTGATTAGTTCTATGTGAGGGGAAGGGTCGGTTTCAAATTTTCCGAGGTTGTTTTGGTCAAAACCAGCTGGGGAGATAACTTGGGAGACCAGGGATGGGTCTCGTTCGGGTCACCACTTGACTAACGGAAAACATATAAAGATACAGAAATGAAGCAAAATATAAATCATACAAAATAATCAAGAATATCAATGTCGTGCATGTAATACGTGTAGGTTCCACGATCGATGGTATGATTCACTAATTCAGTACGTTTAGGAATTGGCACTGCCGTTCTTTGAGCAGAAGGCGATCATCACGAAGGAAGGCGCTGCTCTGTTTCACAGACACAGGCTGCAGTGGTTTCACAGTACCAGGCGATGCTGCTGCTGCTGCCACATGTGATGCCAATTGAGTCAATTGCGGCGTAATTGTTGACATTTGGCTAATTTGAAACGTCGTGATGGCAGCACACGGTGGCCTTCCTCGTTCAAATAACGCCACTGGATCTTTAGATTGTTCATTGTGAGTGAAACAGGATAAATACACCACCACCACTGCCACTACCGCAGTGTATTACCAGGCGGCCTGCCACATTCGAATCACGAACCTCTGAAATGAGCGGCCGAATCTACGACTGCTGGGTCAAACTAAAACTATATGAACTATTTTTTTTAATTTTTCCCAGGTAAGGCCTACTGAGCTGTAAAGCTATTTTTCAGAAGCGATCTGGCTATCACAAATGATAGCTCAACAAAGTGGCTTGTCACCTAGAAATTTATAGCAGCAACCAAATACTCTAAACGCGTCTTTCCAAATGATCTGGAGAAAAATCTACGCGACCACGGGGAGAGAGACCCGCAAACCCCAAATATACATAAGGGTTGGGATCGGACCCTTGCCTCCTGTATACAAGGCGAGGGAGATAACATCTTGCCACCGGGTCAGTTCCTGGCGCGGGTGGCTCGGCGGATTGTTGCATTGCAGGGTCGGGAGAGTAGCGGAGGCAGGCCGTCATCCAGCCTGCGGAGTGGGTGGGATGATAGGGGAGGGGTAGGAGAGAGAGTGGAAGGGAGTAGAGCGAGATTAATACACATTGGCGCGATCACTCAGCCACTTCGTGACAGGCGTGGCCGCTGCTTGTGATGTTGACGGTGATGATGTGATGATGTCGTGGTAACACGTGTGGCGTAGCTTTGCTGATGATGGTGTTCAATGTTGATGCTGGCAGTGTAGTTGATAACGATGTTTTTGCTGATGGTGACTTGTTGGCTGATGATGATGACGTGTGTCCTGTAGGCTTTACCGTTGAGTGGAATCCTCGATTGCCTGGGTCACCTGGCTCAAGTGCAGCTCTCCGACAACCCATGGGACTGCTCTGCTTGCAGCCACGACTCCCCTCATATCTCCTCCTCATCCTTCTCATCCTCCTCGTCATCTTCGTCATCTCCGGTGCTCCCCTTGTGGGACTGGCTGCAGCAGAGGCCTGAGACAGCAGAGGTGGCGGCGGGCTCTTTCGACTTCCCACGGTGCTGGTGGCCTCCGTCGCTCCGCAACGCGAGCCTGCGCGACGTCCCCAGGTCCCACCTGGCTTGCCCTGTGGGCCTTCAAGCACCGCAAGGCAAATCCTCTCCCGCCGAGGGTGACGCCGACGGGCAACAGCAGCGGCCCCAGCGGCCCCAGCGGCCCCAGCGGCCCGACGCCTGCCCGGCCGCATGCCACTGCAGCCCCTTGACCGAGGAGGATGCCGGCAACGCCGTCTTCTGCCGAGAGCGCGGCCTGGCCGCTGTGCCGCGGTTCTGGCCGACGCAGGCGCCCGAGGCCAGGAGGCTCGACCTGAGCTGGAACCTCATCGAGGAGGCGTCGCCCGACGACTTCGAGGGCCTCGGCAGCCTCCTGGAGCTCGACCTGTCCCACAACCGCGTGGCGGGCCTGCGCCCCGGCACCTTCTCGCGGCTGCGCTCCCTCCGGCGCCTGCAGCTGAGCGGCAACGCGCTCACCAGGCTGGGGCCTGGCGTCTTCGCGGGCCTCGCCTCGCTCACGTTCCTCGATATCGAGCGTAACGCCATCCGGGAGGTGGGCGCCGGGGCGCTGGCCGAGCTGCCCGCTCTGCGGCAGCTGAAGCTCGCGCGCAACCTCCTGCACGAGCTGCCGCCGGCGGCGCTGCAGGGCCCAGTGGAGCTGGCGCGCCTGGACGTGCGCGGGAACCGGCTGAGCGTGCCGCCCGTGCGGGGCCTGGGCGCCGCGGTGCAGCTGGAGCTGCGCGACAACCCCTGGCACTGCGACTGCGCCGTGCGCCGCGACGTCACCCGCTGGGTGGCGGCGTGGAGGCAAGCGGCGCCGCAGGGAGGTACGGGCACTGCCAGACGCGGTGGTGATGGTGTTGGAGAGGTGGTAGTGGTGAAGTTATGGGAGAAGGTGGTGGTGGTGCTGTTGGTGAGAATGGTGGTGCTAGGTGGTGGAGGTATGGGTGGTGGTGGTGGAAATATGAATGGTGGTGGTGAAGTAGTGGTGGTGGAGGTATGGGTATGGGGAGCGGTAGTGTAATGGTTAGCACGCTGCGCACCCAGCGACCCGAGTTCAATTCCCATTCACGGCCAACACCAGTGACGATTATCTGAACCGGTCCTGGACCTCTCCTGGGTCGACTCAGCCTCAAATAAATACCTGGTGTGTTGTGTTTAACCTCGCCACTTGGGAGACAAAGGCCGTCAGGCGTGGTCCTGGCGACACACCCCCTCCTGAACAATACTGACCTTAATAGGCACTCACTAACAGCACTTGCCCTCCTAGTCTGGTAAGGTTATAGGGGCGATCTTTGTCTCTGTCTGTCTTTGTTAGTATTTATGGTGGTGCTGGTGGTGAAAAGAGTGATGTTGGTAGTGGTGGTGATGTAGGTAGGATCATGGTGGTGGTTGTTGCATTGGTAGTGATGGTAATGGTATGTATAATGGTGGTGGTAGTGGTGTTTAGGGTCGTGACCTTTTCCACTGTCGACCAAACCCACACATATCTCAGTCAGCATGATGTATATTATCAGAAGGGTGCAGTTTACTGTGATGAGGCTGAACACAGCCATACCGACACCAGATCTCGGTACAAATTAATGCCAACTACAGGAGGTGACCTGAGTGGTGGTGGTAGTGGTGATGGTGGTGGTGGTAAGAGTGGTGGTAGATGTGTAAGTAGGAGCGTGATGGTGCTGATGGTAAGAGTGGTGGTAGTGGTGTAGGTAGTGAAGCTGGCAAGCAGTTGGATTTACAACTTAAACATGGATCTAGAGCTGCTACTCAACTCGTATTCTCCCTATTTTGCGCCCGTCTGGAACGCTCTTCCGATATTAGGAAGCCACTCCAGCTGTGCACTTTAAAATCTAAAACTAATTTCGTGAGAACTGCTGTTTAGTTTGTTGTCCTTCCCCCGCACCTTCGATTAGCGCGGGTGACCACGTATGGTGCGAAAGAAGCTCAACGTGCATACGTCGAGCATGAGAGAGAAACAGAGTAGAGAGAGAGTAGAGAGCAGTCTCCGTGTTTGTGCTTGAGAAGTGTGGAGACCCCTTCCCCGCTCACGCGCTCACCACTACCACCACGTCTTCCCCGCAGCTCTCTCCGCGATGCCTCCCGGCGTGAGCGGCGCTCTCTGCGAGGGCCCCGCCGCCATGGCTGGCCGGTCCCTGGCGTCCCTGCGGCCCGATGAGCCGTGCGTGGAGGCCCCCACTTCCACGAAATCTGCTCCCGCTGGACCCCAAGCAGGCACCCCCCGAGCGCCCGAGACCTCCTCCTCCCCCTCGTCGTCGTCACCTCCTCCGGCGGCCGGGCCCGAGACCTCGCTGCCGCTGCACGTGTTCGTGGCGGGCGTGGTGGCCGTGTTCATCGTGACGGCCGTGGGCACCGCCGGGATCTTTGTGCTCGCGATGCGCAGGTGTGGTGATGCTGCCCGGCATGGTGGGATCTGCGATGACAATAATAACAATAACAACAATAATCAAACCCTTTCCCGTTTCGAGACGACTGCAAGGTGCAGGGTGGGTAGTATACCATTCACCGCCCAATCTCGGAACGTGCAAGCGGCTCAGCATAGTGCCATTGTTTTTAAAGACATTGTACTCACCGCAGAGAACTGTAGCGACACGACCGCACTATGATAGCTGACGCAAAAACTGTACCATGCCCTCCCGCATTGACTTGTGGGAGCCTCGTTACTAAAAAAGTTATTTTATATTAGTTCTTCTTACAGGAAAGGGTTATTAATGTTTACACTTTTAAATTGGTGCCGCTGCTGCCACACGGCATTCACTTATGAGGAGAAACCATAGATGAGAGGCAAGGTCGTCTCACAGTGAGGAGCCGGTACTACCAACTATTGCCCAAGTTCTGCGGTCCTCTATATGTTAAGGTGTTGTCAGCCAGTTAACGAATGTTTACATGTGGGAGGAAACCGAAGCACCTGGGGAAACCCCACACGTGCAAGGGGACAGCACTCTACCCCGCACCGATCGAACAGGTGGAGTCCACACTCTGCTGTACCGCCTTTCCCTGGCGATCCAGAGTACGGCTCCTCCTCGACGCTCATGGGAGATACTTGCACAGTGGATTACATGCCTAAAAACGAAACTATTTTTATTTTACCAGGTATGCCCACTGAGTTATATAGCTTCTTTTCAGAAGTGACCTGGCCACAAATGATTGCTCAATGAAGTGGCTTATTATGTGGAAATGTACATCAGCCAAATACTCGAACCCACAACCTCCTGTATATCAGGCGAAGTAGTTAACATCTTGACACCGTGGGACCTGAAGCCCACATCACCTGGCTGATTAGGCCACGTAACAATCTGGCCAAGTTTTTTGTGGCATTGCGAGCATTTAACAATGCAAATTGTTCACACAAAAACCCACAGATCCTTACGCGTGACATTCAAATGCATGTATCGTTAGCTCAAGCGTAAATGCTAATCCATGTAAATGTGAACATTCCGAGTAGGATCACACATGTTGAACTTCTTTTTCACCGTGTATAGCCAACCGTGCTAATCGGAGGGGCGCGTTTCTCCGAGGAGTCACTTCTCGAGTCATCACGTGACGTCGCGACTTGCCCAGACGTGTAGCGTGTAGGGTTTTGGCAGCTGCTTGTAAATCCATGCGTCACGAGGGCTTCATCCCCTGAGCCTTAGCCACCAGCGACTCGCTGCATGCGGCACGTTCGCGGTTGTTGTTTCAGCTCAGCTCATCCGAGGAGTTGGAGAACAATTCTCACAATCAAGATTGAGTAATCCAGCATCCAGATCACCTTATTTTTTGGATTATAGAAATATGTAATACCCTAAAGTAGGTTTATTGTGGCAAGGCATACGTTGTATTCCAGTGGTAGTGCCTTACGCCAATAAATCCCTACTCCGAGAGAACTAGCAGAGTTGCGAGATATATCAATTGAGACATTAACCCTTTCCCGTTCAGATGACGTATGTGCATGTCATTGGTTTTCCTTCCGAATTGAATCAGAACGCAATCGGAAGTAAAAAGCCATGCGGGAGGGTCATGTGGCGCACTTTGGCACCAGCTATCATAGAGTGCAGTCATGTCACTACAGTACAATGTCTTTTAAAAACAGCAGGGCTGCGCCGGTCTAAATAAAATTAACGTTGAACCGCTTGCGCGTTCTGAGATGAACCGGTGAACGGGACTCACCCTGCAACTTGCAGATGTCTTGGAACAGGAAGAGTTATGCTCAGTGCATAGCACAAGCTTCGAACCCTGTGTGCTACAAAAAGGACTGATCTTCCTCCAGACCAACAGCAAAGATGTAGTGGAACTCAGACACCCATATGCATTCCGGTGGTGATTCCACTGAGCTGTTAATGAGACTGCAGTCATTACATTTGGTTGAGAGGCTTACGTTGGGTGCACGGCAGTTCGGGCATTTTGAGTCAAAGTGCTCATCTCCCATAAAAGAATAGGTTTTACCAATTCTGGCAACAAAACAGATGTTAAGATCTTAAACACCAAACATAAACCTTTTGCAAGGAATCATGTCTGCACCAACTACACGTACTTGTGGTGAACATGCAAACCAAAATCATGCTCTGGTAGTATATGAATTATCTGTAAAACTGATTGGTCAACACCAGAGACAGCTTTGTTTAGAGTCTAGTCTCAAACAGAGTTAGACTAGAGCACACCAAAACCGAACAGCACAAAGGCAATGCACTCTCAGGACATTGAGAGCTCGTGGTGAGCAGCTACAACATGGGACCTCTCTTTCCAGTATCAAAATACAAAAATAGGTTTTACCCTTTCTGGCAATAAAACAGGTGTTAAGATGTTAAACACCAAGGAATCATACTTGTGGTGAACATACTACCAGAGGATGTTTTTTATTTGCATGATGCTCATCTCCCATTTACAGCCCTGCTCAGAGCCAGTGGTGGAAATTCCGCATTCCTATGGCCGGGATGAGTCTGTCCATAGGACAACCACCGTTGACTTCCCCACGAACCTATTTTATTGACCCTGGAGGTGATGAGCTGAGTCAACCCATCCAACCCATCCTTTGAACTCGTGACATTCCGATTACCAGCTGCTCGCTCTTCCGCTGAAATCTTTACTTGTAACTTTATCGCAGCAAAGCGCGGAACATAAACACGATCAAGTGTATGAAACACGCTGACAAAGCGAGCGTGAACTGACATCGTGACGATCGCCACATTGCGAAACGTAATATCGCAGCCGTGCAACGCTTATCATGTGTAAAACACTCTCGGGTTCGCAGGAAGCAGCAGAAGCAGCAACGGAGTGGGGGGAAGCACCGAGAGTCCATGGTGGGGGGCGGCAGCGGCGGCGGCAACAACAGCAACAAGGGCTCGGGAGACGCCAACAAGCGCGGGCCAGGGGGGCCCAGGGGCACGCCGACGACGCCGACGGGCCGGCGCGGGGCGGGAATTGAGGAGGTGGCCCCCTTCCAGGGCCGTGTGGTGCACAACCCCATCTACAAGCCGCTCCTCGTCAAGGGCTACGGCGACGGAACCGCCGATGGCCTCTACCCGGGCCTGCTGCTCAAGCACCACGAGCTGCACGGCACCGCCCGCGCCCTCTGCCCCACGCCCCCAACGCCGTGGGCCTGGGCCGGGTCCGCTGTGGCGGTGGACGGGGGCCCGGGGGTACCGGGGGTCGTCCAGGGGTATGGCGGCGGGCCCAGCTCTGGGCCTGGGTCGGTCCCCGCCATCACTTGGCAGAAGCTGTAGAAGGGACGTGGGGGTGGTGGTGGTGGCGACCGCGTCTCCTCCTCCCACCGCCCTCCGCCCACCACACCTCAGGGCCCTCCGGTGTTCCCGCCATCATTTAGAATCAATGTCAAGCGTTTAGAGTATTTGGTCACTGCTATAAATTTCCACGCAATGATAAGCCACTTCGTTGAGCTATCATTCATGATAGCCAGATCGCTTCTAAAAAGAGCTAGGTAGCTCAGTGGGGCCTTACCTGGTAAAATAAAAAAATAGTTTACAGTTTAGTACAACCTGCAGGCTGCCTGCACTCATCTCCTGCTGCTCACAATGTTCGCATTTACATTGATTAGTATCTTTGCTCGAGCTAACGAAACGTGCATTGGAACACCACACATAAGGATCGTAGGTTTTTTGTGTGAACATGTTGCATTGTTCCATTGCGAGAGACGGTGGCAGCTTGGGGAAGCCTCCATCCAGCAGTATATTTTATCGTGGCTGATGATTACGATGTTACGATGTATGTAGCCTATAGCAGCTGTTGTACCCGTGGCTACACCACTGGAAGTGAGAGTGGAAAAATCAGGGTGACCCAGGTACACGAGAGTTAGCTTGAGTTGGCTATACTTGGGAGTCGAGGCGTGAGAGTCTGGGGAAGGGCCGGAGTGTGGGCTCGGCTGGTAGGGCCGCGGTGCAGCAAGAGTCGAGTCTGCTCGGCTCGAGTCCTCCATCCCCTAACCCCTCTCCAGCAAACATGCCAACATAGGGTTAACGTTGGCATGTGGTTGGAACCATTTCTGAAATGTTGGCCCCTTATTGCCAGCTTTGCCCCTTTCACACGTTTGTTCGTTTTGCACTGCTGCCATTCACAGCGGCACGAGGGTTTCGCCGGGGTCGTGTTACTGGCAATGGTTGCATCTGGCTTTGGAGCGAGCAAATTCAAGTCAGATACGTCTCCACGGCACCAATCTGTCAGCTGCCGCAATTCAACTGTCAGAATTCCACGGTCTTTGGTGGAGGCTACTCTACGGATAGGATAACCGCAGTTGACCTCTCACAAAGTGCTATTTGTTTTAGGTACCCCACACAAATGATAAGCTGAGCTGACCAGCGACAAGCAAAATTTTTATGTGTGACTTACGATGTTGATTTGGGTGCTCTGAGCTGAGCTGGCCTGTACTGATTGGGCCCCCATGGCTACAAGACATTGGCCTACGTGGCCACTCACCTCTAAACGTAAATATAAACTACAAGTGCCCAGTTTTCAGTCATGGAGATGTGACGCCTGTGGCTTTGATTTCATTGACATAACTCAGTAAATCCTCTTCTTTGTGCTTCTAAAATTCAACAAAAGCGACGTGGTTGTGGTTGTGTGTGATATTTTTTTTACGCGTAGAAGATCATTTCCGTTTAACTTACACACGCAAAGACCAAGAGTGCGTGACGTCGCTCGCATTCGGGAGCGAATTTAAGTTCCTAAAGATTGTCGAGTGCAGTTCAGAGATCAGTGCAGCAGCATTACGGCTATCAAGACTTCACTTTATGTTTTATATCTTTGTACCCAAAGTGGCTTACAGCACGGGAAGGGAAGTCGATTAAATTATAGGAAATGAGAAGTGGGAATGGGGAAGGGAAGCGAAAATAGACATAATTGGATAATAAGAATAGGATGGAAAAGGATCAGAGAAACGGGAGCAATGGGGATGAGGAAAGATGAAGAGGCTGCATAAGGGCCTCGACGCTGCTGTATGGAGGGAGCAGCGTCTGTTTTCACAGTGGGCGGCGGTGGGGAAAGGGGAGGGATCCAGAGTGGGGGTGGCCACACAGAAGTCACGTGATTTATGGGAGGCTTGAAAGAGTTCACATTTTCAGTTTCTATCTAGAGATGTGGATTCATTTATAGGATACACAGCCTTGTGTTGTTGGAGGACGTAAAAAAGTGGTGTTTGTTTCCATTTGTCAGTGCTCGTCCAATAATTAATCCGGATAAAATGAACAGCTTAGTTCCTAAACGCGTTCTTTCACGGGATTGGTGGACGACTCACGGCCACTCCCATGCCGCTGGCCAATCACATCTTGGGGGGAGGGCGGGCCGAAGGGAAGCCACTGCAGCATCACGATGTCATGATGCAAGCCCCACCTTATGGACGGAGCGCACCAATCGGGCTCCGGTCTGTCTGTCACACACCTGCGCGTTTGTGCGCAGGTGTGTGGTAGTGTAGCAGTTAGCGCGCTACCCGGCGACCCGACTTCGATTCCCGCTCACGGCCAACACCAGGGACGATTATCTGAATCGGTGCTTGAGTCTCCCCTAGGTCGACTTAGTCTCAAATGAGTACCTGGTGTAGTGTGTAAAACATCGCCACTGGGGAGACAAAGGCGGTCGGCTGTGGTGTTCGGCACCCACCCCATCGTGTGCCTTTCCGGTCTTCATAGGTGCGACTTGCTAGCAGCATTTACCCCAAGTCGGTGAAGGCTACACGGGGGTCTTTGTCTTTTGCAGTGGTCAGCGCGCTGCTTTCCATTCTCGGCTCATCACCCATAACAATGGCAAATTTTTGAAGCCGTCCTTGGCTTCTCCTCGGTCGACTCGTGCCTTAAATGAGTACTTGGTGCAGTGTGTTCCGTGATGGCCTTCATAGGTGCTCACTAACAGCTATTGTCCCAACAGTCCTTTGTGCGTGTGTGTTTGTTCATCTGTTGACAGAGTAGGGGGCATAGCTGGTGCATCTGCCAGTCATCTCGGTCAGTCAACCCATAGCACGTGGGTCTGTCCCGTGACCTGTCAGCGAGCCTTCGACACTTCACTTGGCCTCGAAGTGCACCTGGCCTGGCACAGGCGCCGTAGTGACGTCACAGTCACTTAGTGGCGAATGTCTTGTTGGTGCTCACGAGTGGTGGTCGTTCGGAATGTGAAGGTTCTGCCACAGGCACTGGCAAGGCCTGTGGCTCATCGCCATGGGGCTAGCGTCGACTCAGTGGTGGGAATCTCGCATTCCCATGACCGCGTTCAGTCGACCCACAGCGCCACTGCTGCTACTGCTGTTGACGATGACAATGAAGGCGATGATGTTGCAGATGATGATAATATGTTGCTGCTGATGATGGCGATGAAAATGATGAAGAAAAAATATGATAATGATAATGATGTTCCTGCTGCTGCCGATGTGCGTCTGTGTGAGTAACAATGTGAAAGCTGGTGGGTTTGCATGGGTTAGGCTGGTGTCTTTGTGTGGGTGAGGCTGGTGATTTTGAGAGCGTGAAATTTGGAATTGTATTGCTATGTGTCAGTAAAGGTACGTTGAATGTTTGTTATTATAAATGTAAGGTCGCATTTTTTTAAATGTGTTTTTGAGGCGTCCTCCCGCTGGGATCCATCTCTGCCAGGGTCCAAGTACAGACCGACTCACGCGATTCAATATATGTCATAAGTTCAGGCTTGTCGTAACTCCGATTCCATGAGGGGATGAATACGATAAACCTCGTAATTTTGGGAGAGCACTTAGGGGCTCTCAGGACCACTCACTCGAAGGTCGATTGTCAAATTGAAAAAAATAACCGATAACATAACAATGAATTACAACATTCATATTAAAAGCATTCATAATATCAATAACATGTATAATACATATATTTACGTCCGTCACAGTTCAGCTGAATCAAACAGGTTGCATGGGGTTGTCTCAAGGCCGTAATTATAATATTCGAATTTGCTCAAAATGTCCCCCCCAATATATTGCTATAAAATAGATTTATGTTTACATGATTGTGGTTATGGTTGTACTTTATTAATCCATAATCTCTGCCATTACATACAAGGAAACAATAAATTTTTTAAAAGAAAAAACAGCAATGTAATACAATACACTCTAGACATTATTGTAAAAAACAAAGAAAAAGTCCATGCTATGTGTTAGTGAATTTTTTTATATTTTAGGCAGGAAATGGCAGGAAATTAGTTTTCATATTTAGATTTTTTTTTCTGGGGAGGGACCCCCAGACCCCCTGGAAGATTTGGTCCCCCCCAATGTTGACTCCATGGCTACGGCCTTGGGTTGTCTACACAGCAGCTGATTGGTTGGTGCAGCATTTAAAAATCTGAAGCACGCCTCAACGTTTTGATGCTGTAGTTTCATTTCTTAATCGAAATGGCCTGTCTACACTATCACACAACAACTGCAAATCATTTAATTAAGTGTATTATTTTTGCTCAGTTCCATTGGTAGCCAAAAATCCTGGTGGAAATTCGTTATTCCTATGACGAGGCCCTATACCTCCAAGGGATGACCGCTGGTGACGCTCCACTAAATGGTACAAGTTTTATCGACTCCGAATGGATGATGATTCAACAACTCGTAGCAGTGACGCGAGGTTCGCGGTTCAAACACAGCGGCTGCCCTAATAATTGCTGCAGGAGTGACAACATAGCAAAACACGCGCCGTCCGCTTTACTCACAGTGGACTTTAATAACCCTGTGACAGCATTTGCAAGAGTAGGTCAATGTGTGCCCGGGCATCGTGGTCACATTTTTGGGTGAAATTGCAACGCACATCAATCACACGTACAAGCCCCCCCCCCACCCCCCTCAATGATGCACAGGGGTCACTCTTGCAAATGAGACGCATCCTAGTCGCTTGAGCTCTCATCACGTGATCGATGAGCCGTGGTTTGAACTCGCGACCTTCCACTTATGAGCGGAGGGCTCTGGTCACGGTGCCACGACGCGTGGCTTCGTGTCATTGATCATCGCGTGCAGCTCCTTGCCTCGTCCCGCTGGCCGGAGGAATACCTCCCCCATGCCGTGCCAGTCACGACGGTTGTTTAAACTTCACATTTCACCACGCGTGCCACTGTTGGTAGCTCATTGGACGGGGGGGACCAAATCTCGGGGGGCTGGGGGCCAGGCATAGGCGGAGTTTGACTTTATATTTGGGGGGGGGGCAGAGGTTCGCTTTGTCTCTCATATTAGGAATTGCGGGTGCATTTAATTAGTAGTAGTAGCTTGATTGCAAACTACTAAACACAAATTAATGAAGGTGTCCAGTTGGGGGGCCTTGCTCACCGGTATCCCCCCCCCCAAACTCCGCCCATGGGCCCAGGTCCTCCATACATCTCACTTCTGCTCATTCTCTCTTCTCCCCTCTCTTCTCTCACTCCCATCATCATCATCATCACGATCGCCCTCTCATCCCCCCAAAGTCTTGGCCTGGTCATTTCTCCACCCCCGCCCCCCCCGCCACCATCCTTCCTGTAACGGCGCTCCTCTTCCTTTCTCCCTGCTGCTCACCTTGAGCCGTGCCCTCCTCTCCGACCGTCTGTGGGACCTCCGTCCCGGCGTCGCGTCCCTTTGCCATTCCCATCGCTTGCCCTGTGAATTGCACAGTCAGTTCTCCTATCGCGCGTAGTTTTCATGAAACGAATTGGATATAACGCGTTGAATGTATTCGGGAAGACATTTATTTTATAACGCGGATGCGAATTGGACGTAACGTGATTAAAAGTGAAGAGAACCACGTGGCGCGAGTATGAATAAGCGGTCGTACGGCTGCCTCGGCATAACGTCACACAGGGCAGTGGGATGCTGCTGGATGCTTCTAAATGCTACCCACATGACTCGCTCTTTGTTGAGCTTGAGTACGCATCTCACGCGTCATCGCGGACTGTGCTTTGCCCCCGATATTATGTAGTATTCATTATCACGCGATGTTTTTGCAGGAATGCGACTGCCACCGCGTTATAGGAGAAGGGGCTGTATCCTTGACCCCGCCCCCCTTCCCGCGGTGAGCTCCGGGTCAAACGTGCCCGAGTCTACGAGCACGCTTGAGTCATCGTGAGCCGTTGCGTTGTTGAGGAGCGGTGCGTGTTTGACCCACTCAGGGCCCCGTGTCGTGCTTGTCCGTGGATGTATGCTCAGTGAAGTACAATTTTAACTTCAGAGTGTCCCATTACTATTTTACAGCGCACCGTTGGCTCATTACCCCAGCCAATGGTGTAAACATTCCACATTCCTATGGCGAAGCTCGGTTCTGGCTGTCATCACCAGTGAAACGTCACAGTACTCGAATTGTAGATGTTGTGGGTTACTCTCCAACACACCGGTGTGCTCAAGTAGCAACTAATTGGCACGTTTTGTTTACGTGACACACCTTACAAATTGGCCGTGTCGGGTGGTGGTGGGTTTCACAACACATTTATATATTTTGCAATCTAACCCAAAAACCTTTATTATGAATAATGTTGGTCGCGAAGGCCTCCAACGTGTTCAACTGTTAATTAGTAAAACACACGCACAGGGTGGTGCACTGCTGTCAGGTTGCGAACATTTTAGCGAGCCTGGAGGGAGGATTGTAATGATGATTGTGGTGATGAATATTTTGATAACTGTGATGATCGTGATGGTGATAGTGATGATGATCGTGATGATGTTGATGATTGTGATATCATTCACTGATGGTGTTCATTCCTAACCGTGTTGATGATTGCGTTGGTTTATGATGTCAATTGTTGATGATGTCGATTGCTTTACATGATCATGCATGACGGTGATGATGTTCAATGATGATGATCATGCTCTCGATAACAACTGATCACCGTAATTATGTTGTTTCATTATGATAATGGAGTTTCGATTTAAAGCTTTCGTGACTGCAGGGATTCATCTTCTTGGTTCTTTCGGTAAAGTCACGTAGAAGGGAAGTAACAAA